TAAACAGCTGAAACAGCAATTTGGATTCTTTTGCAACTTGTTTGATAGAATTGTTTGATGATATAATATATTGTTTCTGTTTAAAGTATTGCCTGTACAGCTCTGTCAGAAACATTGGTGTTAGCAGCCAAAAAAGGTTTCATTAAAGGCTATGTAAAGTATGTAATGTAAACAAACCCTTTGTTTACATTCTGAGCCCAGTGCTATATTATATATATATTATACTGAATTTTTAACTCTTCTGGTTTGCTATGCTTGTAAATGAATACAGACCAGAGATTCAATTCAAGAAAGTTTGGAAGGTGCAAAATATTAATAACATTCCAATGGTCGGTTCCTGACCATTGGAATGTAGGCCTGCATAATGCATGCGCAGAACAGACTTTACATGGTCTTTAACAATTTATACAATGGTTCCACTAAAACTCGTAAATAAATGATTGTCAACTATTCCACAGTCATGCTGTGCTGAGTGGTTATTTTGTAATACTACCTGAAAAAAACAAGCAGAAACTCGACATTGGCTACTAACTCTTGACGAAGGTCCTTCACACGAAACATCAAATTTCTGCTTGTTTTTTTTCAGGTAGTACTATTAATATATAAATATCAGATGTTCATTCTTGTAATGGACAACTGAGTGTGCAACAATTAACAATTGTATTTGAAGTCCAATGCTCAACAAAAACAACTTTACTTTTTCAGAATATGGCTACTAAAACCAAATTTTAGGTTTATTAGTAAACTATCATATAACTTCATACATCTTTAACAATTTCAGGACTGCCAAAAGTAGTGATGCAGGCAAAAGCCCAGCTCAAAAGGGGCCTCCAAAGCACAAAAAGTTGTGTCAGTGCCAGATAGTATGCAGTAAAGTGTAATATATTGTAAAACACCTCTTCTCCCATTTAATAATTATGATGTCATAGGGACCCCTGGGAAAACTTAATGATGTCATATGGTTCCCCTGGAAAAGTTTTGCTCTGGGCCCTGCACAACCTCCCAGTGGTACCATAAAATAAATTGCAAGTTCTGAAAAATCTTTATTGATTTCAATAATGTGCCATTCTACACATCAACCTATATCAAGCAATACAAGCATGAAAGTATAAATGATATTACACTTATTCAAGCAGGACATTGTTATTAATCAGGCCAGGTGTGATTCTTGATTCTTTAACCTAACTACTTTTTATCACATAACTAATGAGCAATGCCACTTCTCTAACAATACTATTCCTTTCTTGAGTATTTCATTATATTAAACTCTTCATTATAATGCAACATGCCAAGCTGTTTACTGTTCCAGAATACAGAACTGTATAATTTTGACTAATGAAACTGATTTCCATTGTCTCTGGATGTACTGGTATTGGCATAATAAAAAGATTATCAAATGTACAGTCCCAGGTGTATCTGAAAGAAATGCAATACTAAAGTTATAAAATAGTCAACCATTAATTAAACACACACTGGTATACTGCTACAGGCTTTTGCTCAATTGCTACAGCAGTACAGGCCTTTTTTATTGAGAAAAATATCTTTATTTTATCATTGTATGAAGAATAATATTTGGTTTTAAATTCCCTAGGTACTATAGATTCATAATAATGCATGTATAATAGTAATAAATACTGGGTATGATCAGCTCACAGGATGCTATAGAATTTCGGAAAATCTGCTGCATTTTTAGGGGGTACGCAATATCTTTTGTGGTATCCTAAATAGACTACAATTAGGATGGAAATTCAGAGCCCAAGATTCAAAAATTAACCTTGAAACAAAATAATGATATGAACAATATAAATTGTAACAAATTAAAGAATTAAAGGTATAAACCAAGGCAGTGTGCAACAAGCAACGTTCTTCGGTTCTTGCTCAAGAATAGCCTATTTAATAAAGCTGAGAATCAATAAATTACATTTATATAACAAATAATTAAACGTACTTAAAAATCGGAACATTTTGAAGGAAATAGAAGCCATTTGAGACAAAATAAATGATCGATGACCCGATGAGTGTTGACATGTGTACAAGCCGGTGTTTCAATCATCTCAAATTACTTTTAAAACGGAAATCACACCTGCACTCAGTATCCTTGTTGTTCACACAAACTGCGCCGAACATATTTTAATGCTTTTGACGGGAAAAATTGCGATTTTATTGATATTTTCAGCAAAAAGTTAGCTCTTCACTCCTCTTGAAAATACTATGGCGCGCGCGAATTCCCGGAGAATGGGTACGAAATAGTTAATTGGAAAATACTGTACTTTTACCGTATTTTCTAATTAACTCAACTCGTGTGGCCAGAGCCACTCAACGATGGCTCTGGGTACGAGATTGGCCCACAGCAAAGTTTATATTTAGTATCCAATCAAAATGTCGCAGGAGAAATTTAAGTTTCACACAACGACAACAACAATCTAATTATAGCATAGGCAGCCCACTAAACGGCTGAATTTAAATTAAAACTGCAATGAACTTATAAAATTAACAAAAATAATCACAAATTAGCGAAATATATTGCAAATGTAGCTTATATTAAATCGCCAACCGATTGCTCTCTCCTCCGCAGAGGTTTCAGTGACTACAATGAGCTTTACATGGCGCTTGCCGTATTTATCAACAAACTGACGTATAATTATAAAGTATACTTTATAACTATACGTCAGTCGATAGTGCAATCTGATGGCGATTTAATATAAGCTACATTTGCAATATATTTCGCTAATTTCCGATTATTTTCTAATTTTACTGCAGTTTTAATTTAAATTCAGCCGTTTAGTGGGACGGCTATAATTGTAGGGCAATTGCTAGATGGTGTACTTCAAAATAAGGTTTCCGTTTTTATATCAATTTTTAAAATAATTAAAATAAGTTAGGGTTAGGTTAGGGTTTAGGTTATGGTTAGGTTAGGGTTAGGGTGAGGGTTAGTATTAGGGTTAAGGTTTAGTTTTGCGTTAGGATAGTTTTTTCTACGTTATAAAAACGGAAACCTTATTTTGAAGTATACTATCTAGCGATCACCATAATTGTAGTTGTGAATTGTGATCGTTATAAAATATATCAACAACAATAGTATAATCTAATTAGCACCAGCCAATCAAATGACAGATTTAAAAATCGTTTGTCTAATCGGCCAATCAGCGCTCAGTCCAGATTCTGGACTGAACAACCAGGCAAAATCCCACTTTTGTGCCAGGCCGTACTTTTCTCCCCTTCGCCCACGATCAGGCGTGCCTGTGCCCTAAAAAGTACGGCCTGATACTCGGGTTACTGGATATGGCACTGGGATATCATATAATGTAGATATCAAAAAATTTATAAATATGTTTGTAGCATGAAGAAAGCACGAGATTGAAACAGTTTAAATAAAATGCAAGCTAAATAAAGAAGTTTTGACATGATACAAAACAAGACAATTTCACCTACAAGGGTGACAAGGTAAATTATGGGATTATAGCCTATTCAGTTATATATATATATATATATATATGGTACTCCTTGTGATTTTTTTGGAAATCAAATATTTATTATATTTTGCAATTTTAACTCGATATGTGTAGTGCATGCCCCTTAAGTAGAGTATATTAACTGTTTAC